TCATCTTTGACTTTTTAACAAATTGGACAGCAAATTCCGTTTTCCCGAACTGTTTTACGTTAAAAAGGTACTCTTGTTTCAAATCGTTATCTTTAACGGTTTCTGAGAAAATCGCTCTTGAATTAATCCCACTTTGGTCAATTTCATAGTAATTTAAACAAAAAATAATAATAATAATTTTCCTTTCCTCTCTTTTCCATTTAAAGGATTAATTTTTATTTAATTTAATTTTTTATTATTATTTTTTTATTAAAACTAGATTAAATTGAAACAAAATATTTTTTTTTGTTTAAATTACTATGAAATTGACCAAAGTGGGATTAATTCAAGAGCGATTTTCTCAGAAACCGTTAAAGATAACGATTTGAAACAAGAGTACCTTTTTAACGTAAAACAGTTCGGGAAAACGGAATTTGCTGTCCAATTTGTTAAAAAGTCAAAGATGAAAAAGTTACACACGCAAAGTACCAAGGGCCCCCCCGTACCCACCCCAATGGACCTTGTGGAAATAAATGGATTAGTCCATCAAATTGCTCATCAAAATTTAGCTGTGTATACCAAATTTCATTCATTTATCACAACGCGATTAAGAGATATTGCAAAAAAAATGATTTCCATTCCTCCCTCTTCAATGGGTGCCTGTGCCCTTAGGAAGCATTTCCGGACCCATGTTCATATGAACTTTTTTACTTAGTTTTGATCATAGAATCGGCCTGTTCAGGGTTGGCAGCTAATTATGAGACACCCTGTATAATCGTCTATAGACTGAGTTACACTGAACGTCGATCTATATTCCATCTCTGTCTTTTGCACTCGTTAGGGAACAGGGAAATGCTTTTTTAGTGGGTGTAAACGTACTTGATTTATCCATCCTGAGAAACGTCATAGCATAAGCGTAGACGAGGGGTCTAATTCCATGGCTATAATAAATTTATAAATTAAAAAACACAACTGGGACGTTTTAAAATGCTGTAATAATTAAAATGGATCAAAGTACCGGTTATAGCAAACCGTAAAAAAATATTAGATGTTATGTTTTATTATCTTTTTTCAATATTTTCTATATTTTGTTGCCTTTTACGCAGATACGTCAATGGATTTTCGTTCCCGGCACGCTTCGTCCCCCTTACTAGTCCAAAAGCTAGCGATGAGTCACTCTCTATAATTTCTACCGCGGAGTATAAGTTGTAACTCTGGTTAATATTAACATTTTTATTCATACTCTCATGTTACTCTTCTTCTAACCTAATACTTCATTTAAGGTTTCGTTACGTAATTGCTTCCTAATACTTCATTGAAAGTTCCGTTATTATCACTCAATTTTGTCCTCTCCTCAATTGCTATCTTTTCATACACTATCATAAATGAAACAGTAGGTGTAAAAACTAAAACTTGATCGGTCTTTTTGTTTATACTTAAATAGTACCTACTGAGTGACAAAACAATGCACTCATTTTTAGATTTCATGTATACTCTATTTTCAATAATTTTATTTTATCTACATCAAAGGCTCCTTTTACCAGTAAACTCTTTTTCACATCGCTCTTCTTATCCATACTGCTCACAATTTTTTGCCCCTCCCCCTTTGTTTTTTGGTATACTTTCTTAATTTTATTACTCGCCTTTATACTGTTTAATATGACGTAACTATCTCCAGGAACTCATACTAAATACGGCATTAATTTGTTGAGCACCTAATTCACTCTCATATGTAAAAAGATGTAAATTTCTGTTTGAATTAAAAGGGAGTGGTGAGTATTAGTATATACTAACTCACTATTTTGAGTAAGACCACGTAAGAGTAAGAAGGGGTTAACATAACTCCGATCTATCTCAAAAAAAATTGCATTATATTTGTACATAAGTACAATTATTTTTTAGGAACACAGTACAATCATTGCTTCTTAAAAAAAATGTAGCTTTAAGCAGATTATTTAAATTTTGCTATGTAAGCAAGGCAAAATTATAATAAGAAGCCTTTAGAACGAAAAATCCACTTGTGTGTAGGTATACCATGGTATGCAGAGGGTAAAAATAGCAGTACAATTACACACAAATGTCTAAAACAAGTTATGGATGACATGGTTAAAATAACTACTAAATGCTTAGAGATAGATAGATAGACTTTCCATGTAAAAATTGTGAAAACCACACTTTACATGTTTCATGAAATGCAGAAAAAATCAATACTAGACCCACGGACCACTATTCTATGGACTAGACCCTATTTAGTCGAATTAAAGTAATCGCATAGTGCCCCAAAATATTCTGCAAACAAATTGTCCGTGGTTCTTTCAATTTTATAAGAGTGAAAAAAACCATTTTCTAGATGTTCCATGGACTGTGGACTGTGAAAGTAGTTAAAACAACTACGATATAGACGTTCCACTCAAGGGAGTGAAAACTACTCACGACATGTCACATGAAATGCGGGCAAAAAACCAAGCGGCTACGCCCTATTAAGACGGTCAAAACGACCGTACTGCCCCAAATATTTGGCAAACAAAAAAGTTTGCGGGCAAGGTAGTTAAAACAATTAACTACGATATGGCTAGCTAGACTTTCTTTTTAAGCGGAGTGAAAACCACTCTCTACATGTCACATGGAATACGGGCAAAAAAACAAAGCGGCTACGCCCTACTAAGACGGTTAAAATGACCGTATATTCTGCAAACAAATGTTCGCGGTCAAAATAATTAGAAACAACTACAATATGACCAGCTATAGACAACCCACTTAAGATGGAATTTGCATTTCAATTAGTCTAAAAACTCTGCTCTGCGTGTACCATCGTATACGAGCTAGTATTATCAAGTCAAGGGCGGTTAACAGAAAAAAATTTATGAAATACCTTCTCATCTTCTGAAATGGATAATTAATATAATGCGTGATTTATCTCGGAATTCGTGGAAATTCTTTTCTTATGCATAAATACACTACACAACACAAGGCACAATGATACACAAAACAGATAGGACCTGCACGTGCGGCACAAATAAATGAACTGGCTGGCTATCAATAAGTAGTAACGGACTGTTACGAAACACTTTTTTCCCTTAAACCTGTGCGCGCGTCATGTATAAGTGAGACATACCAACTTGAATCATAGAAGAACGTAAGTGCTCCTCAGATTCAATGTGAACCTTGTAAACAAATATCTTGAGATGTCTCCGAACAAAGAATTCAATAGGGTTCATGTCGGGTGATCTGGGTGGCCAACGTTATCCTGGTTCTTGAGTGCTTCGTCCAATCACGTTATTACCGAATCTTTAAATAACCTACCTAAATAATCTACCTTTAAATAAGATGACAGCTTCTTATTATTATCATTTTGCATGACCTCCCTAACATAATATGTTTAAGTAATTTAAGTAACTGTAAAAATGTAAACATATCAGGCATGTATTTTTTTTATTAATTACCTATTTAAACATTTCATTTTATTTTAAATAATTATTTTTTACTAACTCTTTAGTGAGTGCTAGTGTGGTGTAGGTAATCCAATAATAGTTGGGGTATGTTGCCCATAGAGTAGTTGTTTCCCGCAGTACCAGCGGTTAGCAATCTTGTCTGTGAGGTTTGATGTCTCTTTCATATCTAGATTTCTGGTATTGAAGAATGTTGTTTGACTTCATTTGATAGGATTTGTTTGAATTAGCTTAATACCTTAACAAAGAGTAAAAAGCTTTAGGCAGAGATTCGAAAAAGTTTAAAATAAACGAAAGTTACGACTAACTCTTCCAATGATATACATACATATGAATTTTATTTTAACGTTACATATTTTTATCTAAGAATCAACACAGGTTTGAATATTTTCATTTAAACAACACTTTGTTAAGAGATCTGGTGAAACAATAAGATATGTTTAAGGGGGGCTATAATTGCCTTTTAATGCATAAATGATATTATTTATTTTGAGAAGTATTGGCCAGTCCTTACAGTTTGTTGTACCATTTTTTTGATTCTCCGTATAATATATAGGGTGTTTCGCATAAGAACCGACACAGAGTAGGCGCTTGTAGGAGAACTCAAAATGGTGATTTAACAATACTTACGAAGCTGCACCCTTGAGAAGTTATAGGCCTTGAAAGCGGGGTTTCAAATTTCGAAAAAAAATCAATATCTCAGTTATACTTAAACTTAAACTTAAAACCAAATTTGCTAAACGGTGTGAATGTACCAATAATGTAGGTACCAATCGATAGTAAGTAGAGTTCAATTGAAGCATTTTAAAGGGTTGATAAGGGATAACCCCCAATTTATTAACCCGTTAGCAGGTGCAGTTTAGTATCTAAAGTTAAATTGCTGTAAATCACCATATTTTGGGTTCCTTACGTGCCCCTGCTCTGTGTCGGTTCTTATGCTAGTTATGTTAAACACCTTGTATACAAAGATATTGTATAAATATTGAATTGTGTTGTTAATTTTTGTTTGAATCGTTATTAACAAATCAATTTATTTTGCACTATTGAAGAGAATAATATAATGAATATTTAATTTTGTGCTATTGTCCAGGCAAATAAAAGAACATATTATCGACAGTTGAATTCTGCCCTATTAGACAATTTGACGTATGTAAGACGTGTCCTAAAAATGTTGTATATTGATGTTCTGCTGCCTAAAGAGGAACTATTATTGAATACTGTTATTTGGATATTCCTTATAATTTTCTTTGGGAATGTGTTTAACCTGATAACCCTTTTCAGGGAGGGGAGGCGGCGTCTTGAACTACATAAAGTGTTTTATCTTATGAGTTTTTGTTAAAGAGACCATGAAGTGGGTATCACATTAACCTTTTTATGTAGTGTGTTATTACAAAAGCATAAAAATCATTAAGGTGTTGATTATAGTTATACGCTTTGGAAAAATTCGTGAGTAGATTTTTTACAGTACAAGTAGTTAAAATGCCACGGTCTGCTGTACTTTTCCATGATATAAAATACTTCTTCTCATAGTGCTCTTTAGTCAATCTGCGGTGGCGAAACTGTAACTTTAAGATGTGTTATAACACTGCAAGTTTAGTGCTGTTACTAATTATTTCGTACAATGCTGTATCGGCTCAAAATGTTTCCGATATTTTAAAATCCGTCGTAGTTTTTCGAGGATGTCTTAAACATAAGCACTCAGTAGTATGTATGAAGGAAAAAGCATTAGAAATTTTGAATGAAACTATAATGAATGATAATCCAATGCACATTGGTTTCTTAGAAATACAGAGAAACCCGGATTTCTTTATTAATTCAACTGAAAATGAAGTTTTGCCTCGAGAAGCAAGTGAAAGAAGTTCCAGACTTAGCGATATTATTTTAAACAAAATAGAACAATTTTTCAAGTCACGGACAGTGAAATTAAATCTGTCAGATGCCTTTGAAGGTAAGGCTAAATAGTTTTTTTACGATTACAGAATATTAATGTATACATATATTTTATATTTAATTTAGGATGTTTAATTGAATATTATTTTAATAGATGTTTTCCGAAATGTATCTGGAAGTCCATTGAGAGTGTAAATTTACGGGTAAAAATGAGCAAAAAAATTCATACAAAGATGTATTTATAAGTGTTCCGTTTCTCATTGAAAAATGAATAAATAAATAAATTTCAAGAGCGTTTACTGCTTGCTTTGCAGAATTTGATACAGTACAGGGTGTAACTTTATGTGGGGTCAATTTTTTGGCCAATCTGAAATTATTATTTATTTAATCAAATAAATATTCTAGTTATAATTAGTTTTTTAAAATACACCCTTGTATAAGTACGCCACCACTGATCGGCGTAAACCGGTGCACCCGGAATTTGCGTAAGTATCAGTATACTATCAACGTTGCCAGTTGTTTGTAAATCAACCTACATTGTGGGAAGTGACAAAGAAGAAATAATTTGGTGAAACACATTGCTTTTGTATAACTTAGCGACGTGTTATTTTAAAGTCACCATATTTTTCATCACAGTCGAAGCGACGAAAAACATTCTACGATTTCTAAAAAAAAATTTTTTTACATTATTTATTAAATATTAACTAATATTGGTACGAAGATACGTTACTAATTGTAAATATTTTTTTATCAACTGTTGTGAAACTATTGTAAAATAATTTAGTTAAAACATATTACTTTAATATGGCGACGACGTTATCATTTTTTTTGTGTTAATATGAACGAAAAATATTTTTTAAAAATTCCATGGTTTATTAAGTATTAACCAATTTTGGTATGTAGATACGTTACTAATTGTAAATAAAATTAATTTATGATTTGAAATAATTATCTTTGCTGTTTTTAAAAACAAACAAATAATAAAAAATAATAATCTGATTGATATGAAAGTTTTTACAATATGTTTCCCATTCAAAGTTACACCCTGTATATTTAAAAGACTTACTAAACTCTAATAGTATATTTTAATCATTAGTTCAAGGGAAGGGATCTTGAAATATAACACATCATTTTAGAGTAAATTAATAATAATATTTGACAAGAGAAACTACGTACAGCTTTTCAAGACAATATTCAATAATTGGTTAACTAAAAAAGTAAATACAGCTGAAGCAAATATTAATCGCGTTAAAAAAGTAGTTAACTTAGGTTAACAATGTTTTAGCGGTACCGCACAAATAAAGAAATTGGATAGAAAATTATTTGAAGATTAGAATGTGTTTTCAGAGTGTTAAAGAGGTTACAAGGCAAACGAGTCAAAGTAGAATCCTTTTTATTTCCAGTACCATATTTTTGCAACTAGGTTCAGCCTACTAAGTCATCGTCGGAGAAAAATAAATAAAAAGTTGCATATTGCATATATAAGTTTGACTAAATTTAACTATTTTATAATTAGTTTTGATTACCATATGTGAACTAGCAATTATTGGAAAAATAAAAAATGTTGTAATGGAAACAAATAGTATTGCAGTTTGTAATTGTTGTAATTCCCAATTCTGTCAACTTTCAAAAAAAATTCTGGATGTACAGGGGACCCTTACAAATATAATTCTGTAAAGAAAAAATTAAAAAGATCAGTTCGAAAATGGTTTAAAAATACACTTCTGCACGGCACTGGAAACTGGTCCACTGTAAAACCTGACCTCGCACAATGCGACCGGTATGGCAGTGTGATAAAAACGGACAAAAACTTTCGCAAGGAAAGAAATATGTAAATGAATTTTATCGCACCTATTTTATATCGGCAAATTCAACTGCTTTTGCCTTTATTCATTAATACAATTAATTTGTGTTTTTAAATAATAAAATCATTTGACATACTCGATTTTACAACAGTTGTTCAAAATCCACCAACGTGTAAACACATTTGGGTCCGTCTTACTCAGTTTCTACGAACTAACACAAATGTTGTCTTGCTTCACCATAACACAAATGCTTCACCATAAATTAAAACGATATCCATCAACTCCGAGTTGCTATACACGCAAACCATTTTTGACACTAACTACTAAAAAAATATTGTAAACACAACAGATAACAGGTAAATACTGTTGCAATGACGATTGCAAAATACGATTTCAGTATTCGGAGTCGCTGAGGCCACGTGGCTGTCCACGCGCATTGCAAATGACGCTAGAGACTACAGTTGTCCAGCTATGTAGTCGTTGAATGTACTATAACTTCAATAATTTTTTTCTCAGAAACTATAAGGATTTTACAAAAAATTTTTTTACGACATTGACTCCATTTCTCATGCCGCATCTATTCCCAATTTTTTTTGGATAAGTTCTGAATCACCCTGTATATCTGATTAGGAAGATAAAAATATTGTTATTTTCCCGTAATGTGTTTCGTTTTCAAGGTATTGGATAAAAAATATATAATTTTTCTCTTCATATAATTACCACATTATCTCATAAAAAGTGAATATCTTGAGAACGTAATACATTACGGGAAAATAACAAAAATAGTTTTTCTTGAAACTGAAATAAATATATTTTTTAATCAGATGGTACAAACAGGGCGTGTTTCGTTTTTGAGGTATTGGATACAAAAATATATAATTTTTGTCTTCTGTATTATGGTAATATTATCTTATAAAACGTGAATATCTTGAGAACATAATACATTACAGGAAAATAATAAAAATACAGTTTCTTGAAATTTTTATAAACAGTGGCGGACACATTCTCCTGAAAAACGTTAAACCTCCGCCACTGGACTACATAATTTATCACTAACAACTGCATATATGAATTGCGCCTGGTATAAACAGTAGATATACAATATTTCAAGTGTTTTTGAAAGCACTTCGGGAAAAATTTTTAAAATATTAAAAAATTTTTTGGAAATACCTGCAGTATTTATCACCTGAACAACGCAGTTTAAAAGGAAAAATTATACGGCTTACCCTCATTATTCTAGTGAATTATATCTACATTAGAAGTTTGTTCAATTTTGTTATATTCTGTAGATGAATGCAACTATAAAGAAGGTGTTCTTTGAAAAGGATGCATATGCTGCTATATATACAATTATTATTAATTATTTGCACTTGCATATGCTTTGTAGTTGAACTTAAAGTTAATATATGAGTAAAAATAATGGGATTTCTTATTAGTGATGAAATATTTTTTTTATACGAGGTTGTCGAGAATTTTTCACATTTTAAAATTATTTTTAATTTTTATAAAGGGAGTCAAATTTCTTATGAGCATTATTTAAACTAATTTTTTCAAAAAAATACTTTTTGAATTCCTCATTGAATTTAAGACCTATTTTGATAAAAACAAGTACATTTTAGTCTAAAGTCATACCGCCATTAGATATACAGGATAGAGTCCGCCTAATTGTTGACATTGTCCACAGTTATAGGAGAGGTTAGGCTATCCGCGGCCAGAGGGCAGCGCTGTTAACGGCGTCAGCTTTAAAAGAGGCAAATTGTTTTTAAGCTATTATAATAGCGTAATGAAAATATTTTATTTAAGAAATAATAATGATAAATGTATAATTTGTTATATCTGAGGGTGTCAATTCCAACGCCCTCTGGATCTTGATGCCTAACAAACGTAAACATTAGTGGGCAAGTGTCAGCCCTTACATGACTTATCTGATACCGCTTCGATCTACTTTTTTTTAAACATTCTTGAAAATAAATAATTGTAATTTGTTAACAAGATACAATTTTCACTATCCGTTTAAATATAAAAATACCTATTCTACTTATTATTATTTATTTAATTAATAAAATAGCAATTATGGATGTTAGAGGTCCAAGCTTTGGATGATGGATGATTCGCGTTACAACCAGATTCATAATAAACTAAAGAGTCCGTTAAACTTAAAGAAGTTTTAAAGTATTGTCACAATAATATACCACTATGGTTATTACGTCGGGTTTTCTAATCGACTTAAAAATAAAGTTTGTTAATTACCGTAGTAACATATTTGTTGTAGCAGTTGTTTAAAGCTTTATATTTAAAGGACTTTTTAGTTTATTAAGAAACCGGTCGTTAACAAATTTTATTTAAAGTCGATTTGGGTAACGTTATATAACAATTGTTAATTAAATTTGACATATACTCAAAATGTATTTTTCTTTTTTATTAAAACATGTCTAGGGTCTACTTTTTACAGGTTACCTGATAATTATAATTTTTCATAATGTCGTGTTACTATTTCCCTAAATATTTATAAGGTGCAAATAATTTTTTTGTCGGAGCAGTGTTTTACAACACTACTAAGAAAGTCTACAATAATTTATTGTTCAAAATGTCTACCGTAAGTACATGATCGAATAACTTTCCTAAAATTCCTATCAACACTATTTCAATAATTTTAGGAAAATGCCTTCGGGGGTCTTATTTATTCGATTTTGCATATCTTGCTAAATGTGACTAAATCTTACTTAACCAATATCAATGATTCGTTTACAATTAACAATGACAAACGGTTACATTTCCTTTCGAGATAATACGATTGCTCATTGGTTGAATAAAATCTCGAGAAAAAATTACACCAATCACTAGCCGGTGACACAAAATGTTGTGTTTTAATGTAATCTTGATCTTGTTGCTAAATTTTTACTTTTACCAAAACTCAATTGCCAACGTGAAGAAAATAACCTTAGTGTTCCAAACAATGTCACTGGGCACGTGGCTTGGATTCATTTATGAAGGCTGTGTAGTAAAAAGAATTGAAAAATCAGGAATATTTTGCAAACTATAAAAGATAAGAACTAATTAAATGGAAAGGAAGGAATCTTTTGCATCTCTGTGACAAATTTTGCATATTAAAAAATATACGTATATCAATGATAGAAAACTCGAAACTAATGTCCCTAATGACTGTTTTCCTGTTTACTATTATGTAACCAACTGGTAGGATATTTTTATTTTCCCTGAATGAATGGTGAAAACCGCATAATGTTATTATGTTTAGTTTCGGAGATATTTGGTATTTTTATGGATGCTGCAACGTCAATAAAAAAGACATCAAAGATCATTGAAACGGTATGACATAGACCAAGTATTTGTTTATAGGCCTTGAAGCTAGTAATGTTATAGCTATCAATTTGTAACAACCTGTACAACTTTTATTGTAATACTTCTTGATCGATTTTTCATTTTGTACCTATAATTCCTTCATAGTATTTGATTTTCTTAGTATGTATTACAAAAAGTTTAGAAAAACCATAAAAGATATTGATTTTTAGTCGTTATGAATTTAATTTTTAACTTTCATTTAATTATTTTAGGTCGAAAAGGAGGTGGTGGTGGAGGGGGAGGAGGAGGTAAAGGTGGTAAAGGCGGTGCGATGGCTATGATGGCTATAGCCGGTATGGGTGCAATGATGGCAAATATGATGATGGGCAAAATGGCATTAATGTCCGGGTCGGCTCTAATGATTGCAAAAATATCTCTAATTTTGTCGATAATCATGATTGTCAAGAAAATGCAAGGAAGTGGTGGAGGAGGTGGTGAAGAAAAACATATAGTGTATGCTACATCGAGTGACTCTGGTCATAGTCATGGAGGTGGAGGAGGATGGCATCGAAGTCTAGAGGATGCCCAAAATATAGTTTATCGAGGACAGTGGGGACCTTCTTCTTCAGAAAATGGTTCAGGTTTATAAAGTATGAATCTTGTAATAGGTTCAATTGCACGGAGCTTTAAAAGAAAATGTCGACATTTTATTCATTTATAGCAATGTATAATTTACAGTATAGCAGTTGATTCAGAGGTATAGCCGATTTCATCTTTAAGTTACAAAAATTGGTTTATCAGATTTTGTAATAAATTATTTTACCAGAAAATAGGTAATGTTGCTAATTTCATGATACTGACAAATAATTGTAAAAGTCGTTAACATGTCTTGCATAAATAAAGGCGTTTAAGAGGAAAATTGAGTGATTTCAGATAAGAGCAGGTGACCTAAGCGGCCCATGACCTCCATTTGCTTTTGCAATAATTTCTAATCGCAATTTAAAAGTGTATATGAGCATCAACCATAAGTGCAGTCTATTAAAAGGAGTGAATCCTCTAACAATAGTAATAAATTATTTCCTAAAGGTCAAAATAGGTATACTACACCGGATAAATATTTAGGAAAAATATTCGTTCGATCAGAAGATCTCCCTAAATACCAAACCAAAATCGGTTTTGTTCTACTGATTCAACAGTACTGTTTTCGTCTACTCGAATATAATTATTGTGGTTGTTAGTGACTGTGATATCGCCTTCATCAGTTAACAAAATATGGTTCTTAAAGTTTAAATTTTATAGCAATTTTGTCAGTACCTTCCGACAAAACATTCTTAATGTAGCATAATTTAAAACGGTAGAGCTTGCACAGCGAAATGTAAGGATGCAACGTTGCTTATGCAAGATTCTCCACATTAGAAGACGGGTATTTATTTCTGAAGAAAATTTCCAGGCGCCCATGCCTTTTTCTACTCTTTTTAACATATATGTTTCTGAAAACTAACCTGAGTCGGTGAGCATTTCCATTCCATTTGTAAATGTAACAACGAACAACCATCGACGCAGTCTTGAAATATTTTATCACTGTTTAAAACGATTTGAAAATGCCTAGGCATAACGACACCGTGCTTGAGAAGCATTACAATTCGTACGACCGTGCGTGAAATACATGTCAGTAGAATAATTATTATCAACTAACGCGAATATCACATGTAAGGAGACATAAAATAATCAGGTACTATAGAATATATTGACAGTTTATCAAATTTAGTCAAAACACGTATTTGTTTTGTACTTTTTTTTTCAAAGACGATTGAGTGCGAAATCTGGTAATCCAATTTAGCGACACTAAAATAGAAAATTGTCCATATCTCTGAAACAGATTTGTTCCGGACCCATGTCGGCTATGACATTTTTGTTTGTCGTTTTGTTAGTGCTATATTTGAGTAAAAAATAATCGACATTTGTAACCATCGATAAGATTCTGATAAAATAATTTGATAAATTTGCCAGTAAGGTAAGCTTCCTACATACTTCACATTAAAGGCTTTTACAAACAGGCGCGATACAATGTGCGTTTGTGTCATTGTGATCTCGCGATAACGCAATCGTTTGCGATATTAACGAGGATTAGTTCTCGTTAGGAGTACCCCCCGTAACTCCGTAAACTCACTTTGCTTTTCAAAAAACCGTATAAAAAGAAGTCTAATGGTGATAGATCGCATTATCTTGACGGCTAATTGACATCTCTTCGAGAAATTATTCGATTACCAAATTTCTGTTTCAAAAGATCGTTTTATTTCATTTACTGTATGACATGTTGCAGTCCTGTTGAAACCATATATTCTGCACATTAATACGCTCCAATTTATATCATAAAAAGTTGTTATTCATCGTTAGATTCACAGTAACTAACTTTATAGCTTCTTTTTTTAAGAAGTATGGACCAACCACTCTACCAGACAAAAAACCACATCAAACAGTTACTTTTTGTGGATGCATTGGTTGTTCCAATATCACTCATGGGTTTTCTTCACCACAGATATGACAATTCTATTTGTTTTCAGAATAAGCTTTATCATTAAAGATGATTTTATTAAAAAAATCATTTTCTTCTTTTACTGCAAGAACCAAATTAACAAATATACGACGTAATCTATGATCAATTGGCAATAGTTCTTGTGTTAGTTCTATTTTGTAAGCCTTTAAGTGCAGATCCTTATGCAGAATATTTAATAACTGGTTTGTTTAATGCCGAATTGCTGTGAACGATGACGAATTGATGTGTTTGGTTCTGCAATAACACTATCATTGACACCTGCAATGTTTTCTTGTGACGACTACTTCTTTGCCTCTTGAATTGAACCATTGAACCAGTCTCTTTAAGTTTATTCACAATATTTCGAATGGTGCTGTTTGTTGCACAATTTTTTTCCATCTTTAAAATAATTTTTAATAATAAAGACGCGTTGTTCAATCGTATATTTCTCTCCATATATATTAACCGCTATGTTTCTACTTAACAGTTGCCAAAAAACCAAAACCATTATAGTATAAAAAACATAAATGGCGGCAAGTTTAAAAAGTTAACTGAAATTTGAACACCCGCTATAATATCTAGTGCAAACCTACGGAATGATTACAGGGCGTGTACTGTTCGTAGGTATGAAATGAAATTTGAGTAAAAATTCTGTAGGAAGTGTTATATTCAATAATCTTTATGAGTTTGAAGTTGAACCTTTTGGTAATATGAATACGAAGATTACCATTGCATTACTATTTATAACTTTAATAGTTTTAAAGTAACAAATTTTGACATCCTAAAATGTGTCCATTTTAACACCAGATTTAGACACCCTACTCATCTAAAAATATTTCTTAATTATCATCTGTTGTTAGTAATAAAAAACCGATACTTTCAAACTTGAAAACACTGTATCTGGAAAACTAAGCATTCTTCTTCCTTTTATTTTTTACTTTTGCAAAATTTTGATTTAGAACTTGATTTACAATATTTATAACGCTGTTATTTTCCTAATTTTAATTTCTTCAATGTTCTGTATGTTGAAAACGAATCTATGTAGAAAAAAATTTAAACATATTACACTTATTTCTTTATTTTTTGGGTATTTTGCCACCTGTGAAAAATTTTTAAAAAATAGTGAAATAAACGGATCAGTCAAGAGTTATTTTTATGAAAATAATTTTACCTAAACAAAAATCCCACACTGAAAAAAGCAGAAAATAAAGAACATAGCACAAAAACATATATCTTTGTATCGCACAAAAAGTTGTTGACGTTTCGAAAATCTATCGTGTTCTGAACTTTTTTGACTTCGTTTTAGTTGCTTTCAGAATTATAATGGACTGTTAAACTGGCGTTTGAGTGCCGTTTAATTTAAAAACTACCTATGTATTTGTAATTTAGTTACAAGAAAATCTAAATAAATTTCTTGTTAAAATATGCAAAATCTGTAAAATTACAGTAGAAAGTTAAAGAGTGACAAAGAGCAAAACTACAATGGCAAATAATTTCCGGAAAAATATATTGTTTTTGTATCAGTTTCCAGCTTGTTATTTTAAAATCACCAAATTATTTTTATGTCAANATTGAAAAATCAATGTAGGCTGGAGAAAAGTAGTCGTATTTTGATAATAAAGCATTACATTTATACCATTTTTAGGGTAATGATTTCTAGGTCCTCAAAGAAAAGTTTAATGAAAAAATTTCCGAAGAAATTTGTGAAATAAAAAATGAAATTAGAGGTTGCTGACCCTGATCTTGAAAAGGGTGTTACGCATATTTGCAAAATTTTTTTTTCGTAATCAACTGATGGATACAAACAGCAATGATCCATGATTATCAAAAAAATATTTATTTTATTCAAATATGTCTTTTTGAGATCGTGGGCAACCCTTATTTTAATTTTTTATTTCGCAATATCCATATCTTCCGTTTTGGAAAACGTGAAATATTGTTAAATTAGGTCTAGCCAACCAATTAAGGAGTTTCATTCAATCTTTTATGTGGAAAATGTTGATATAAAATTTTATTTCTGCTACTGAAAATAGTGATATTATGTTAAATATGAAAAACCTCGAATATTTCGCACAAAAAGTGTAAAGAAACAAAAAGTGAAGATAATACAATGGCGCATATGATGGCCTATTTCATTTGTAATATATTTTTTTGCCAAATAATGAACGATGATACCCACGCCTCCGCCACTGGTGAATTTTTAAAGCTGGTAATTTTTTGTTTCATACCTACTGTCATGCTAAATATGCACACCGAATTTGGTTAAATTATCTCAAGTGGTTTAGAAATTAAAAACAGTTTTTTTTTTAATTTTCGACACGCTGTAGCTGGACAATGGCTGTCCTAAGACCCCACATTTATATAACAAAATACGCCTCTGGATTTTTTGTTTCTACTTAAGAAACACCCTGTATATTAATATTATTTCAATGTTGTTATTATTTGACATTCTAAAATTCATAAATTTCAAAATTTTTGAGGTAGCTATTTACTGAGAAAAATTATGATTTGTATAAATGAAACATTACTGTAAAAAACATGTTGCTGTTTATTCAATGAAATTGAAATTAAAGATAAACTAGTGAAAATAAAACATATTTATAGGGGAATATTATTTGTAAGAAACAGATTTTTTTAAATTTTATATTACAGATGGATACATTTTCTAAATAATTGCTATGCAGTTGACAAAAAAACAATATTATAGGTACTTATTAAAGTATTACAACAAAGAAACAGGTGGTGTCTGAAAATCCCGTTCAAACACTTATTTACATAAGGTGCGTTTGCATGAGGTCAGTAGGTAAGCGAGTCAAGTGGACAGGTTCGTTAGCTTGCTGTTCACTGGAGAAAGTGATAATGCAAGTGTTTTTCCCATAAGGATTGTTTTAGCTTTCAGAAAAATCTGAAAATTTGCAGAAAGGTACATATAACAGACATATCTAACTACACAGTGTAGACCATTTTGGTGATGCATTGGTATCTTGGAAACTATAAGAGATAGGAAAATGATTAAATGGTGAAAGTTTTAGACAGTTCTGTTGCTAACTTAATGACACTTGCGCAGACCGGTCCTAACCATGTAAATTATACTGTTTCAATTATAGATAAAT